CTCCTCTCTTTTGTCTTTTCCCCTTCTTTTTCTTTTTCTTTTTTTTTTTTTTCCCCTCTTCTTCCATCTTCGTTCTTCAGTAACAATCGCAACTATTGTCGATACGATTAACGCTATATTGCACTAGTTAGAATTATACAAAATATATACCTAATGGTTAGGCTTAGCTTTTTTCTTCTTTTTTCTTTTTTTGTTTTTTTTTTCTCTTTTCTTTTTCTTTTTTTTTCTTTTCTTTTCTTTTCTTTTCTTTTCTTTTCCGAAGTATACCATTTTAGGCACCGTTGTCCTGGAATTAATTTGGATCGAAAAGAAGTTGGAAGTTGGAAGTCGTACGTGAGGCAGGAGGCACGGCAGTTCTCGCAAACACTATATTTCTCGCGCTGACTAATATAATGTTCTATTCTAAAGACGACAGGAAGAAAGCGCTGTGAAAGCGTATCCTATGAAGTTAAGTTGGAAGAGACAGTTTGTTCACAATGCAAAGTCTCTGGCGGAATACTCGAATCGATATCGAATAAAACGGAATTTTGCACGAGGTTGTGGTCGGTCGAAAAAATATAATTAAAAACCGACGGAACGCTTACAAGAGCGAAAACAATTTTTTGATTTAAATTATATAGGATATATGTATATATAAACACTCGAGTTTTTTTTTTACATGTACACGCACATTTCCTTTTCTCGTTATTTGTGACAAGATGGAAGTTTCCTGTATGTATATGCAATGTAAACTGAATCTTACCCTTCCCTGGTTAAGTACATAATCATACTTCAGGTACCAAGGATAATCGTAACAATAAACAAGATTTTTTAAACATGTATAGTAAGAAAAAAAACTGTAAGAAAGAATTAAAATCTGCTTGCTCTAGTGTAGATTATAAGAATTATAAACATCTGGGTATAATTGTGTTCGGTAATATTGTCAACACTTACGCTACACCACAGTAAAAACTACACGTTTGGTATTATAAATCGATAATACGGCTAATAATACATCGCCTTTGGAAGATCATTGAGTTTTACTTAAAAAAAAAAAAAAAAAAAAAAAAAAATTCCCTTAAAAAAAAAAGGTGGAAATTAGGGTAAAAAAAAAAAAAATTCCCTTAAAAAAAAAAGGTGGAAATTAGGGTAAAAAAAAAAAAAATTCCCTTAAAAAAAAAAGGTGGAAATTAGGGTAAAAAAAAAAAAAATTCCCTTAAAAAAAAAAGGTGGAAATTAGGGTAAAAAAAAAAAAAAAAAAAAAAGAAATTAATCACATAATTGGAATATAATCTTAACATTCATACGCTGTATACGTATACGTAACCACTACAAAATAATCATCGAATAAATGATTTTTAAGATAAAAAAGATATCCTTAATTTCTTTCTAAAAAATAAGATATTCTTACTTCTATTTATATAAAAATGAATTTTCTAATGAAATAATAAAACCAATTAAACACGTAATTAAAAAAAAATGTAATATATAACATTTAAAGAATATTGAGATAATAAAATTTTAAAAACAATGATTTCAAAACAATAAAAATCTCCTCGTATATAAAGATCGTGAATTATGGATTGTAAAAAAAAAAAAAAAATTACGATAGCATTGAGAACAAACCTGTACAGATAGCGGATACTGCTAATGGCTAAAGATAGCGGGAAGCTAGCTATGTAGGAACGTATACTATTAAGTAACATATTTAAATATTGGCGCAATAGTGGAATCTCTTACCATATAAATCAGTATCACGTCAATACTTAAATATCTGACGAATAACGTATGTTTCAATTCATTATATATAATATTTTTGGGATACACAGTAGTATTTCTATGGTTAATCGAGATCTTTCACTCCTGTGATATGTCACCCAACATGAAAAATATTATTCTTTGTATTTTCCTGAAAGTAATGCACTTCGTGTTCATTGACTCGTGATCAACCATCGAACGAACGAATTAGATTGAGATTAGATTCCGAAAGATTTATTCAACAATTTTTAAACGTTATATTTATTCTTCTTTGCAACATGAAACAAGCAATAAACCGTGTGTATCTATAATACAAAGATCTGTATTAATATTTTATACACAACTATACTACTGTGTATCTCTCTGCTAATAAATCAGTATATATTCATTACAATCACAATACGCATGACATCCTATGCAAAAGTTCTGGTCAAAATGGAGTAGAGAACTTGTACTATGGTAAGACACGAATCGATGGCGCATAATAATAGGAGGGATAATTCTAGCTGCATAATCCCGAAGGATCGACCAGTCCACGCGCAATCAATTCAGCCGTTGCTGGATCACCTCCTTGTTTACCACTCGAATGCTGAGACGGTGTTTGCTGCGCATGAGGTTCGAAATGAGAACGAACATGGAACATAAATTCAGCCTTGTCTGTAAAATCGGTACGACACATAAGGCAAAAATGCCTTTCAGACGCATATGGCTGCGGAGGAGCCGCGGATCCTGGAAAATATGGCGCTGCGTGTTGTGGTGGAGCCGATGCTTCTAAATGAGAACTGTAAGAAAAAAATATTTAATCATTTTCATCAACTTTTCAACGAATATTTATAATTCGTTGACGTAAATATATATATATATATAAAAATTACCGTGCATGCTGCATCCATTCCTCTCTCGTAGCTAATGCTCGACCGCACAATTCACACGCCCAACTAACCGGCTCCTCTTTCAATTTATGTATAGTGTCTTGCCGAGATTGTTGTTGCTGCTGCGATTGTTGTGCTTGCTGCTGTTGAGCTTGCTGCTGCTGCTGCTGTTGCTGCTGATCCGAATTAGGCGCTGAGGGCGTAGAAAGTGGCGCCACTCCCGGTCTGTGTCTCAACTTGTTCATGTGAATAACTAGCTTATCTCTACGAGCAAACGCTTTGCCTGGAAGCAAGAAACGGCCATTACCATTAATTGAACGCAAGCAAATACATCATCGTACTAATGCGAAGCAACAGTTTAAGGCATACTTACCGCAAACTTCGCAAGAATATGGCTTCTCCCCGGTATGAATACGCATATGAATGACGAGTTTGTCCTTACGGGCAAGACCTTTGCCGCAAACGGTGCATGCGAACGCCTTTGTCGCCGGTTCACCCGTATTGGTAGCCTTTGACGCAAATCCCGGACGAGAAGTTACATTGTTCGTAGTTCTCAACGGCTGATTTACCGTGGGACCCCTGCTCCCAAACTGCTGATCCATCGCGCCAGGAAACGGGGGCATCACGCCACCAGGGCGCATCGCTGCCGAGTAATCTGGGGACCTATTTTCAACGTGGCGACGTATCACGTTTTAATTTTCAATGCGTAAAACAATACAATTGATTGCTGTTTAAAATTTGACGGGTGAAAGTCTACTTACCATGTTCCAATGGAGCGAAGAACGCGTACACCATCGTCGTAGCCTAGGCCATCGTCAGGTAAAGTGAAGGTCGGATTAGGTGTTTGAGGTGTCGCAGGTGGGCCGGGTCCAGCGAGTCTCGCTTGTGCAGCTTGTTGTGCCATGTGTTGCTGTACAGCGGCATGAGCCACTGCGTGCGCTTCCACATAAGCGGATCGCTGTTGCTGCTGGCTACCATTAGACATCTTGTCCTTGTCCGTGCCCTGTTAATCGTTCGTCTTCTTACGTTACAAGTTCCACGTTAAGATACGAATAATAGAGTTGGATATCGGAACCGGTTGAAAAGGAGAACTGTTATATTTAGAGATTTGCACATAGAGATTTGTAATTACTATAAAATATAAAGCTTGTACTTCTGGGAATTGTTGCTATCGCAATTTATCAATGTAATTGTGCAATATACGGATCACGCTTTCAAAGATATAAGAAGTTGTGCAAAAATACCAGATTACACGTATTAATTAACTCGTTGCACATTTTTAAAAAATTATTAAATACGAGATTACGTTGTAAAAAAAAAAAAAGATTGTGGTTAATAAATTCGTTTAAACATTGAAAAATTAAGCAATCAACGTCGTGCAAAGAA